TGTGGGTAAGTTATTTCCATTGGAAAAGTTTAATGAATTTTCGACTTTGTTCCATGTCATTTCTTGCTTTATAAAATCTAATCACAGTTTTTCATCAACAGTTACTGTTGGAAACAATTAAGAAATTGAAACTTACTTTGTGAAATTACACTACCGACCTAATGTTTATTGGTTTCGCTTAGTTCTTTCGTTTCCCAAAATATGTTTCCTAACATCTGCAAATTTTTTTTCTTAATTTCTTCACGTACTTTAATGTAGTATTTTAATATTTACTTTTATCTTCAATTTGCCTTAAAAAGGTCTGCTTTGTTAAGTGCGAAAAGCAAAAGTCTGTTTTATTTTTATTTTGGAGTTCGATTAATATTTTTGCTCAATCTAAAAGTAACTTCGCATTTATTTAAATTAAAATTAATTTTTTTTTTAATCTGAAGGCTTTCAGATTTTACATTACTTCCAAAGGGGCGTTTTTTTAACGTTTTGTGTGTTAGCTTTATTTGTTATCATGTTCTTCGCACTGAAACCATAAAATTCAGTTCAACAGCAGTATCGCAAAATAATTTTAAAATGAGCATATCCTTAGAATTTCCGATACTCAGTCTCGCGCGCTGGAGATAAAAATGTTTTTTTTTTTTTTTTCCCGTACAGTATTGCCTTTTCTCGTTTTGAAATCGTTGAGTTTCTTAATCAAAAATTCTTAAATGTCTGACAAAATATGAAATAGGTAATAAAACAAATTCCAAATGAGGGCTTTCAGATGCCCATATTCGCTGGAGGATTACCGTTATTCAAGCTTTGATGGCTCTAGGGTACCGTTGTTTTATCACAGTGCGAGAAACATAAATACATTTATGTAGATTCTTCATTATTTAATTTTTTTAATATAATACAAGACTGTATTGTTACTAATAGTACCACCACTAATAGTTGGTGGCAACAGTTTGAAAAGTGAATCAACGCAAAATGCCAAAACGAAATTAACAGCCCTTCTGGGCTAACGCCCTTTGGGCTAAAAATTATATTCTAAAAATCAATATTTTCAGTATATCATTTACAAAAATCAGCACGCATAATTTTATATTTTTAAATCAATACAATTTAAAATGTTTAATTTTTAAATTATTTTTAAATCGATACAAAATACGAGCAATTAAAAAAAGATTGCCATTACTGCGCATTGAAATAAATAAGTAATTTTTCTTTATTGTATCTGCTATAGTAAAGCCATTGCATTGCAAAATACAGGTAGTTCCATTAAAATACACAGTGCATTGTAGAAAAATCGTAGATTAGAAAAGAAATACAGTTTGATAATTCATTAAAAGAAATGGTAATTGATATTCATTAAAAGCGGGATAGTCAATAAAGAAATGGAATTCAAGATATTATTTAGCAAAGATGCTAGTTAATAAATAGAAATGCTAATAATATCTAACACAAATTAAATTTTAGAAGTGTGTCGAATAATCAAGATTGTATTTAACAGACGGTTATTGAATTACAAACGACACAACTTACAGCATTTCGAATTTACGAACGGTCTTTCCATGACGATAAAATAATTAAACAAGTAAATAATAGTAGAACTGAGAGCACTGGGAAAGGTTGAGCTCATTTTCTTGCATTTTTACCGAACCTCCGATTCCTTCATTTATCCGCTTTAGGAATATAATGAAACCTCTCTATAGCCCCGTTCACATGCAACGCTCCTTCGCACAGCTGCCGTTAGCAAGGGGAGAAAAAGGAGACATGAAAGAGTTTCGTCTTTAGGACCCGTTCAGAAGACCACCGTCTTCCTTCCCCTTTACATCTAAGCCTCTGTGAACAATCACGTCTCCGAATTGGCAGATTTCTAATACTGTTTACACATTTTTAACGCTGTTTACTGTTGTTAATTTTGTAATCTGTACTTTCGCAACTGGTGCCTGAAATTTCGTAATGGTTCCTGAAAAATATATGCTTTTTAATTATTATTATTATTTTATAAGCTGTTATTTAGTTCACTCTTGGTGCTTGTGGCTATTGTTAAAAGATGGTTATGGATTTTTAAACTGCTCCCCGATAAGATATAGAACTCAAAAACTTTGTACATACACTGCTTGTGGATGTGGTGTCACGCTTTTGATTTTTAGAGGATTAGATTTTTTTCAAATTTAAAGTTGAAACGACTTTCTGCAAATATTAACAAATAAACTGAGAATCTCAGAATATTACAGTTTGCACCATAACACACTGGAGGGGGAAAAATTAAATGAAATTTTTAGCGTAATTTTTTTAAAAAAATATTTTGGGAGAATTTTTGAAAATCGTTCATATTTTTAGACTTTTTGACGCCCATTAGTTTTAAAATTTCATATCTAAAAATATATCTGTTACAAACTTCCATCATTTTCACAGCTTATAAAACAAACTTTTCGCATTTAAAAAAAAATGATAAAGGAAATTAATTGTATGATTTTTTTACTTTTTTGAAAGATATGCAAGGAAGCAGAATGGGAAATATTGGTTTTTCTTGGGCATCAATTCGAAACACCGGTTTCAAAGTAATAATCTCATTATACCACAATATTTTTATGACATTATTTATGCTATATAAGTTCTTATTGTTGCCAGCTGTTAATTCAGCGCGAGATTGGAGATATTTCTGAGTTAACTTTCTCTTAAGATGCGTTTTGCATTCCGTTGTGTTTAACGTTCTTATTAGATTGAAGCATAACTACTGATTATACTTAGTGATATTCTAAACACTTGTACGAGTATTTCTGTGGAAAATTTCAGAACTTTGAAGTGTTTATGTTGATAAAATAAATTAATTAAGCTATCATCGGATTTGAGTGCAATGACAATCATTTACGTACTATTATCAACCTATTACAAACCCGCACGCACGCAACAATATTATAATTAATTAATGTATTAAAACTGTTTTGAACGTGTTTTACAAAACAAAAACAGGTAAAGAAAAATTATGCTTGCGTTTTATGAGATTTTGCAATTTTTCTGGCCACATAAGGTTTTAAAAAAAGGTTTGTAATTTATGTTTATATTTATCAATTGAATAAATAGCACTAGGTTTGATTTATATACATATGTGTGTTCTGAAATTCAGTAATAAAATTTTAAAGATTTGAAATGATTAAATGTCTATTTAGACAGTTTGTATTCTTTAAACTGCAAATGCAAACTGAGAAACCTTTTGCATTTTTTTCAATAAATCCTTTTACAAGTCCTAAAACATATACAGGTAGGGACTAAATTTTTATTATTGTACTGCTTACTTAAAATTATATACTTTATAGAAACAAGGATGGGTTTTTCAAAATACTGAAAGGAAAAATTATTTGAAATGAAAATGTGACTGAGATCATATTTGTTTAAAGATTTAGATAAAAGTGTATTTTTCCCCTCAGAAACTAATTCATTAATTGCAAAATCATTCCTTGAAGTTATTAAGAGCACTCTAATAATACAATAAAAAACTGGGGGAGACATTGAAATTGTAGGAGAAGAAAGACATTTTAATTGTAAAAGTTTTCTTTAAAATTTAAATTAAAAAAATACTAGCAAAAACGTTTTTTCAGCTTAAAATTATTTTGTCTCACAAAAACCATTTAATAATATTCATAAAAAAGTAGATGAAAATGCTTAAATTTAAAAAAAAAATCATTCAAAAGGTACCGAGTCCCTTGTTGCGTTGAAGCCGATATTCACTTGTCTTAACTTTAGTTTTAATTTGAACCAACCTTGTCTGTATTTGTGTATAATTTCCGTATCTTGTACAGTTCTATCTAATTTTAGGGGCATACTATCACATCCCCAGACATCTATCAGCGCGATTGTTTCGCTGACAGTCCAGCGAGCAGTAACTAAAATTAAGTGAACCGCGCAGTATAGTACGGGAAATCTCCCCATTTGCCCTGCTCCCGAGAGGTAAGGAACATTCAACCAAGTTTTACCTCCAATTCGGCGAGGCAGTTAATGCTTGTCCCATGTGAATCCGCAATTTAGACTTGCTATTGAACCCTGGTGGGTTGACAATCCGCTCTACTATTTAAGTCCTTGATTTTTAAAAATATCAAATGTTTGATGCATTTGTTGTACTGTTTTGATTTTGTGATCTCAATAGAATTCTAAAAGGTAAAAAGAAATCTCTTACCTTTTCTTTCACCCGGGAGCCGAGCTTGTTCCATTCTAATTCTTATTCGATGAAATATCTAAATAATTCCAAGCTTTTGCATAAAAACTGACACTTCTGTATAAATAAAGATATTATATTTAGATACAGTTATATACAATTATTAGATTACATGAAATTACGCGCTCTCCAGCTAACAGTCAATCGAGTTCGGATTCAGAGTTCTAACTACGTTCTTCCGTAGGATTATTCTCGAGTTTAGATGTAATGGTGCTGATAGTTCGGAGTTTAGATGTGGAGGCGCTGATAGTTCGGAGTTTAGATGTAACATCTCCTCCCACCATTGAGATCCGACGATGCGGAGGAACTCAATACACACAGGTCCAGTCGATGAGGAGGCCGAACAACTCGTCCAGCTCTGGTCATCACTCGAGGACTTGAGGCAGGTTCTGGAATACTAGCAGCCTGATCAGCCTGACCAGTTGCATGGTCGTTTCTATCTCGAGGTGCTCTGTCGGGGAACGGAGGGCCAACGGATTCGGAAGTAGAGATCTCCAACGGGAAAAGCCGGGGCACTGGACGAAGCAGAATTCCATTTCTTGTCTTGACCCTCGCTAGTCTAACTATTCCGTCTTTACTGGGGAAAAGCTCGACTATCTTGGCTAAAGGCCAATGTATGCGTCGTCTCTGGCTGTCTTCCAATAGAACGACATCGCCTACTTGCAACTGTTGAAATTTTCCCTTCTTTATTGCCTGTTGTCTCAACTGACCAAGATATTCATTACGAAATCTGTTTCGTAGATCATGTCTTATTCTCTGTCGGTATTTGGCTCGACGGTTTAGTTCTTTGGAATCTACGTAGTCCATATCAGGAACTCCTGATGACGGCAATTCTTGCAGGAAACATCATAGGGGTCAGTGGTGATGGATCTTGATTATCCTCTGATACATATGTGATAGGTCGCGAATTAATCACTTGTTCACAGTCACATAATATAGTGTATAATTCTTCATAATTTAAGGACGTTCGACCTAACACTCTTCTTAAATTTTCTTTCACCATTCGCACAAGCCTCTCCCACCAACCTCCCCACCAGGCGGCGGTCGGAGGGTTGAACTTCCATCGTATCCTTTGGATAGAAGCAGCTGAACATATGGCGTTCCAATTAACTTTCTTAAGAACACTGTTAGTCCCTACAAAATTAGTTCCGTTGTCGGAATATATCACATAAGGTCTACCTCTTCTGGCAATGAATCTACGTAAAGATTGGATGAAAGTTTCTGTAGATAGAGAAGTAACTAGTTCGAGGTGAATGGCTCTATAAATGGCACATGTATACAAGACTATCCACGCTTTAGACCCCTCACGGAGATAGAGAGGACCCGCTAGATCTACACCGACGACTTCAAAAGTCGCCCCTTCTCTGACTCGATCTTCGGGTGGAAATCCTGGCTCGACTTCCACTCTTTGTGAAACAAATCTTTTACATCTTACACATTTTCTGATAATATTTCGAATACTTTTTCTGGATTTTAATATCCAAAAGTTTTCTCTAAGATTTGTCATTAAAGTGCTGACACCAGCATGCTGGAGTTCTAGATGTTTCTCGTAAATTAGTCTCTCAACAAGAAGGTGTTTTGAAGGTAAAATGATAGGATATCGGAAATTTTCATTATCTTGACGCTGTAGGACGTTCGTTTTGGCTCTTAAAATTCCATTTTGGTCTACGATTGGTCTCAGCGCACGAATAGCGGGATCGTTTATGCCTGTAAATGATTCTTTCTGTACCAATCTACAAAGTGCCTTTTCAGCATTCTCCAATTCATCAACTGAGACATCAGGAGTGAGGTTTTTATCTTTGTTCTTTAAATTGTGATAAAACCTGAAAATCCAAGCGATCATTCTCACGGTTTTTCTATATGAAGAGAAGTATTTGTAGTACCGGTCCAAATTGTCTCCATGATCTAGAAGAGTCAGAATCGTTTTCCTTTTTTCCTTGTTTATAAGTTCTTCATCAGGCTTTTCTTCTACATGGGGCCACTCGTCTTCTGGTAAGTAAAGCCACGATGGGCCCTCCCACCATGCCGATTTCTGTAATTGCTCAATAGTACATCCTCTCGATGGGAGATCCGCTGGGTTTAAACTTCCAGGTACATGCCTCCAGTCAGATATTCTGGTAAGCGATCTTATTTCTTGTACTCGATTGTGAACAAACGTACCCCATGCTTGATCCCTTCTTATCCACCCCAAAGCTGTAGAAGAATCACTCCAGAACACTGTTCTACAATTCTTAAGTTTCAAATCTGATAGAATTGTTTTGGCAAGCCTGGCACCTATCAGACAGGAAAGAAGTTCAAGCCGTGGAATCGTAAGTTCCTTAATAGGGGCTATTCGACTTCTCGCACTTACTAACTGAACCTTTACACCTTCGATGGTTTCAGCTCTTAAAAATGCACATGTGGCATAGGCTCTTTTACTAGCATCCGAAAAAACGTGGAGCACTACGGTATCTTCGTTTTCGTAATCAATATTTAACCAACGAGGAATTTCAATCTGAGATAGCAGAGGCAATTGGTTCAACCAAGTCCCAAACTGCTCACTTAGGGGAAGAGGAAGATCTTCATCCCACTTAATCTTCTGGTTCCATGTTTCTTGCAAAATTAGCTTAGGAATTACAGTTATCGGTGCAGTAAAGCCAATGGGATCAAAAATTTTCTGGGTAATTGACAAAACTTTTCTTTTGGTAATAGGTTCCCTCAAGTTAAATGTTTCTTCGATCTTGCAACTCAAACTATCTTTTTCTAAATCCCATACTAATCCTAATACTGGGACAACTTTCGTCTTGCTCTCTATCTCATCGATCATGTCAATGCGAAAATTTGATCGCCAACATCTCAAATTGAAATGCCCTGAAGCCAAAATCAATCTTGCTTCTTGAACGAAATTTTCAGCTTCATCTACGTGATTTAAGCTAATTAACGAATTATCGAGGTAAAATGAATCCTTCAAAATATTAGAAGTTTCTACAAATTTTTCTGGGACTGTAGTCAAAAGGTGACTAAGTGTAGCGGCTAGCAGAAACGGACTTGATGTGAGTCCAAAAACAACTCGGTTATGTCTGTAAATTTTAAACTTATGTTGATTATCGAACCATAGAAACCTTAAAAAATCTCTATCCTTTTCTGCTATTTTGATTTGACAAAAGGCCTTTTCGATGTCAGATGACACTCCTATGCGATATTTTCGAAAACGATTCAATATACGTGGAATAATTTCTATTAAATTTGGTCCTTTACTCAAACAATCATTGAGAGAGGGTGAATTCTTAGAACGTGCAGATGCATTGAAAACAGGCCGTATCTTTGTAGTTTCACTAGACTCTTTTATTACAGGTCTGTGTGACAAGTAGTGCACTCCTTCCTCCTTTTCCTCAGTTACTACCTCAATAATGTCCTTCGCTTCCCACTCATCAAATATTTCTTCGTAATCTTTTCTTCTGCGTGTGTTAATTAGTTTACTTTCGGTTTTGACGAGGTGTCTTTCTGCCACAGTACGGTTACTGGATAAGACGGATTTATCTAAAATAAAGGGTAAGGTTACTTCATATCTCCCTGAGCTATCTCGTTTTACACTTTTTAAGAAATGTTTTCGGGTTTCTTCTTCCAAGGACACTTTTCGTTTTGTTTTCCTCACTTGAAATCCCCAAGGTGTCTAAACGCCAAAGATTGGACAAATTTGTATCGGAAACATGTAAGGATAAAGAAAGAACGGACAGGGAACTCGACGTATTCGCATTCTCTTTAATCTTGCCCATTAAAGTCCAGCCTAACTTGGTCTCAAAGGCTACGTAATCCCCCGCAAAATGTTCAATTCTTTCAGTGAACAATTGTGCTGCGGTGTCCGCTCCTAACAGCATATGAATCTCTTCCGGATTTTCTTGAAACAGACAGAGATTTCCATTCACATGATTGTCGTTGATAAGGATTCCCCTTTTTTCCATTACTTTAATTAATTTTTCGTCTTTGATCTTAGGTAGTGACGAACAAATTTTCCTCTGGTCTAGTGCTTCGATTTTACACCTGTACTTTCCATCCAAACTAGTTAAATCTATTTGATAACGATTATGATCTTCCGAAACTTCTACACCCCCAAATAACCCATGTTTAATTCTTTCAGTTCCTATCTTTTCTAATTTCAACGTTTTAGCAGCATATTGACTTATGTACGTGTTCTGACTTCCGGTGTCTATTAGCAATCTTAAATAACCCTTTAAGGTTTTCCCAGCTACCCCTACGACCAAAGTTTGTAAATAAACTTCAGAACGGTTGCTTTGATTCGAAAGTACTTTATTCTCAACTTCCTGGACAGTTTTGATCGTTCCCTTTTTACTCTCGGAATTAATTCTGTTGCACATAATCGTAGAATGCTTAGAGTGACAATGGGTGCAAAAAATGTTAGAATCACAAAATTTGCTGATGTGACCCTTATTTTGTAAACACCTAAAACAAGTGCCATTTTTGCGTAGTATTTCAACCTTTTCGTCATTAGTTAGTTTCTGGGCAATAGGACATTTATGGCTTGAATGGGAAAAATCTCCGCAAAAAACACATGCCTTAATCAATTTTTCTTTAATACCCGTGGACACTAAATCAGAAGCAGAAGAAGCTTTCGTTTCTAATTTATTGCTCTTTCCATCGCTGAAATGACGAGTGTTTATTTTCTGGACTGCATACGCAGACTGACGGCGCCCACTATTCGCTGTCGAATGCTCTGAATTCTTATTTATGACTTCCGCCCTTTCGCGTGAATCTAAACATTGAGCTATAATCAAGCACAGGCTTTTAATATTACAATATACGCACTTCCATTACTCATTCTGTTAATCTCAAGCAAAATATCTTGGGGAAGTGATTTCAGAATTATTGGACATAACACACTTGATAAATTCTCGAGAGACTGACCCAAATTTTCTAAACATCTTAATTCGATAGAAATATTATCATAAAATTTTCTAAAGGCGCGAACATCATTCGAGATTTTCAACGGTTTAGTGTTCAAAATGTTATTTATGTGAGTGTAAATGAGCACATCTGTTTTCGCAAATCTTTCTTTTAGAAGATCAATTGCGGAATCGTAATTAGCAGCAGTAATCGGTAATCCTTCGACTGTATTTAAAGCAGAACCACCTAAATGAGCTTTCAAATAATTAAATTTGTCTATTTTATCTAATGAATCATTTTTATGAATGGCAGACTCGAAACTGTTCCAAAAGGTTAGCCAGTTGTTTATATCTCCGTAGAATTTCGTTAAAGTTAACTTAGGTAATTTAATTCGAACAGACTCGTTATGTTTTGGTTCTCTTTGACTATCAGTACTGAACTGGTTATTTACTACCGTTTCAGTAGATTTGCGTTTTAATTCGTCGATTCTTTTGGAGGTACGGAAACTGCATTTAACGACCTTTTGACGATATTCTTCAGATTTTTGGAATTCAGCATCAAATTCTTCGACTTTAAAAAGAGGTTCTAATTCTGTATCGACACTTTTAAGCGATTCGAAATTATTCTTTAATATTTCTAAATTTTCTTCCAAATCATGAATTTTCGGATCAATTTCCGAAAGCTGCGATTCCAAATCTTTAAGCGATTTCGTTACTGATGTTCGGAGAGCTGCGCGCTTCTTTTTTAATTTATTTAAAATCTCTTCAGACATGTTCTTAACAGTTCAAAAATTCAAAAATGTAATCAATAATTGTATTCTTAATCTTTATTGTCTAATTTAAATTCTTATTCTTAGCTCGGGCGTCCCGGCAGGGATGCCAAAAAATTTGTTGTATCTCTCAATAGAATTCTAAAAGGTAAAAAGAAATCTCTTACCTTTTCTTTCACCCGGGAGCCGAGCTTGTTCCATTCTAATTCTTATTCGATGAAATATCTAAATAATTCCAAGCTTTTGCATAAAAACTGACACTTCTGTATAAATAAAGATATTATATTTAGATACAGTTATATACAATTATTAGATTACATGAAATTACGCGCTCTCCAGCTAACAGTCAATCGAGTTCGGATTCAGAGTTCTAACTACGTTCTTCCGTAGGATTATTCTCGAGTTTAGATGTAATGGTGCTGATAGTTCAGAGTTTAGATGTGGAGGCGCTGATAGTTCGGAGTTTAGATGTAACAGTCATTGAAAAGCAAACGTATGCAATCTATATGTTATCGTATGTAGTTCTTATCCTTTTCTTTAATATCAAAGAAATAAATTAAGTAATCTTAAAGATTAGAAAGCCTTTGCAAACTTTTTAAAAGTAAAATTAAGTGGTAAGCCTGCGTGGTATTAATTAATCCAGCACTTAACTGTGTTCTCTCCATTGCCATTGCCATTTTGTGATCAATTAGTTTCTATTTCCTCAAAACGACTTCCAGGTAGCAAGTTATTGATGCAGTAAATTAGAATCTTCTTACCAAACTTTTTATATAATTTTTGATGCTCCGTTTATTTGAATTAAAAAGGAGAATATGAGAATTATTTGTAACTTAGTATTTAAACGGTAATATTATTGTTAATCCAAAGGGGCAATTTGCCCTGGAGGACTATTGTTTTCGTTTTGCGATTTTGCGTTGAAACTTTTAAAAGGCTGTACCACTTTTCAGATCGTTGCCACCAAATATTATCGCCCTGTATTATATCTGAAGAAATTAAATAATGAAGAATCTGCATATATGCTTTTCGTATTATGATAAAACAATGGTATCTAGAGCCATCAAAATTTGACTAACGTAATCTTCCATAGAATATGGGCATGTGGAAACCCTAATTTGAATTTGAAATTTGTTTTATTATCGATTTCATATTTTGTAACACTTCAAAGAATTTTTGATTAAAAATCTAAACGATTTCAAAGCGAGAAATGGCAACGTTGTACAGAAAATACATTTTTATCTCCAGCGCGTGAGACTGCATATCAGAAATTCTAAAGATATATGCTCAATTTAAAATTATTTTGCGATATTGCTCTTGAACTGAATTTTATGGTTTCAGTGCGAAGAACATGATATTTAATAAATAAAGGTAACACACAAAGTGTTAAAAAAAACCACCCCCTTACACGTAATTTAAAATCTGAAACCTTTCAGATTTTCTTTTTACATTATTATTATTATTAGTGCTTCTCATTGCATTATATACTGAAGCCACCCCAGAAACAATATCCCTGTTAACTCAAAACCACGGTTCACCAGAGGGTAATTAAAGAAACAGCAAGGAAGAGGAAGAACCAACATTATTATTAACAAAAATATTAGTAATAATTTACCTGCATTTAAGAAATTTAATTTGGAAAAGAATTGCATTGTACCGAATTCAGTGTTTACAATAAAATGAACCACTGTAAATAACATGAGAACTGGGATAAGTAAAAATGAAAAAATAAGTTATAAGTTTTTAATATCACAGACCATTATTTTACTGCCTCACGTTTTTTTTTTTTTTTTTTTTTTTTTTTTTTTCTTTTCTATATCTTCTTTAGACAGTTTTGTTTTACTTTGATAGTTTCGGCCTATAATTTCTTTTTTATATTTCGTCGTACACAAATTATTATTATTATTATTATTTTTGGTAATGGCCGGCTAATTCTCCTCCCAACTGATTAACAGGGAATTGATTATCTATCTAAACTAACCGCATTTTAAATTAAAATTATAGATATAAACTTTACTGAATTAAATATATTATTCTTATATATTCTATTTCGTTAATACCCCTCCCGTTTATTATTTAAAATTTTATTAATATTCGATTGAAATTTTTTATGCAATCCCACTGTTATATTTTTAGTCGCATATGACAAAAAAAGTTATCTTTATGGAGAAATGTTTTTGCACCCGAAGAAAGGAAACCAGTGTCTGATTGCCTAAGAAATAGATAGAGCGTTATTTAAAATCTGCATCGAAATATGGTTTCTCTTTTTTGCCCAGTTTTAAATTTTAAATTTAAACGTTTCTCTTCCAATTTAGCGTTGCGTTGCTAAAATTATATTTTTTCCTTTTTAGCCATTAACTAAAACAATAAGGCTTTAAATTTTTATATATATTTTATTTTATACCTTTCATTTAGCAGAAGAATCAAAATAATGCTGAAAAAAATTTCTGTGAAGATAGGAATATTATTTCTTTAATCAGCATTGTAATGAACATAGTGATAACATTTATTTCAATATCTCCCAATTTGTGAAACATTGTAAGATTGCATTCAATTTGTTTAAATTCCCCTTCAACAATTTTTACTCAGTATTCATTATCACTTATTAGGACTCATGGCTTTGAATAAAATTACCAAACATTGGTAAATTAAACAAAATATTCCAAGACTATTTTATTTAAGTACTTTTAAAAATCGAAATTTACCATTAAGGAATGATTTAGTATACAAATCCGTAAAATATTGCTTCAGCGCTTAAAAAGAAAGAAATCTGCATTGATTTATCGCTGAGAGGTTTTTAATATCCTGAAAAATACATAGGTGTGCGAAATTTTAAGAAAATAGATTTGGCAGAAATATGTGTGAAGCTGATTCGAAACTTTGCTTTAAATGAACAGACACCGCAAACAATTAAAAAATAATGGACTCTTGTAGGATTATTATTAAAGTTACTCTTACTACTGTTATTATTTACCATTATTTTGCTGCTATTAAATATTCAAGTTACGAACAAAATGCGACACAAACATTTTCAGAAAGGTAGCTGGTTCGTAATCAAGGTACTTTTGTGTTTTTAAAAATATTTCGATTTAATTAGTGAGTCAAGTATATTATAAATTACGTTAAACCTCAATAATTAATCTGGGCATGTAAATACGTTCATTTGGAATAATGGAAAGTAAACTGTTTATTTAATCTGAGTGCAATTATTAGTATGTCAAACAAGTGCTCTTGAGATTAAAAAGTGAATGAAAGCGCGTATAAGATGACTATTTGAACTCAAAATATTACAGACTGTCAAAAAAAGTATTAATTCCAAAATAATTCCATTCTCAGAAATTGCCATTGCAAAATAGTGTTTCGAGAAAAGACCAGATTAAGACAGCCAACCACTAATTAAACAACTAATTTTTCTCGACGAATTGAAAGCCATTAGATAATTCACAGCTACATGATTGGTTGCTTGCTAAATGAGGTCGTTCCCGCAAAAACTGTGCAACAGCTTTGTTTTACAACTTTGAACTTAACTTTTTAATGTCTAAAGGTCGGGTAATGTTTGCATATTTTAGCGTTCGTCATTAAGTTTGTTTTTTTCAAAAACGCGTGACATAAGAGTCTGTACAAGAGTTGATGCAACCGCTGAGAGATTTCATACTTCACACTCATGTATATTCGATTATGACTCTCTAACCTTGGATAAATTTTCAAGAG